TAAAGATATATAATATAAATAATATTATCTTGACATTTGAGTTTTCTGGTCTTGCACCTTACATATTCCATATTCTTGAGAATTGAATTTTTTTGGTGCCCGTGAAACATCGATCTTTTTTTCTCATCAGTACATTATTTTTCACTAGATCTGATATACAAATTTTTCTCAATTTATTTTTTAAAAAATAGCTAAAAAATATTTAGAGCGTATAATCACTGCAATAAAATGAAAGAAAATATCAAACAGAAAATAGTTTATATCTTTTTCTCCACGTTCCCCAGCTAGACTCATCAACTAAAGCGGTGACACCTTTGTGGATGATTACATTGTAAGTATAATTATACTAATGCTAATAAATAAATAAAAAAGCAGAAACAAAACAACAATGACGTATTAATGAATCAACAACTTAATTTCTTAAATTTATATTTGAAATAAACTGTGCCATAGCGAGTAAGTCAGGATTTTCAGATTACGCATACTACACGTTAAATGTATGACGTCGCGTCAAAATTCTTCGTAAAATCTCGACGTTCTGCTACAAAAGGTACAGTATTGAGCGTTATTTTTCAAACGCATACTTTTGAGTCAGGTATATAAATTATATATCATTTAATTCTAAAAATTCTAAGCTCTTTAAAATGTTTTGAACGGGGCAGGTCTGACAGCCGGCATTTTTTGGCCAATACCGTACTTTGTTCTTTGTTTATAAGTAAAATACAATTTTGAAACAATTAGAGCATAGCTTGCGGAACAAAATTGGACCAAAAAATAACTTGAATTTATGTACATAATAATTAATAAGAATATTAAAAAATGCGCTGAATCAAATCTACATTTACTTGGTCAAAAGTCAATTTCCACCAAATATCCTATACGCTGAATAATGCACTTACACTAAACATTGTTTGAAAACTAGCTTACAGTAAAAAGCAAACATGGGAGAATAGCTGCAATAATGTAGCCCTCTCAGATTTTTTTTATCTGATGTTTTCTGACCTCTCCCAAAAAAAAAAAAAAAAAAAAAAAAAAAAAAAAAAAAAAAAATTCGGAGAGGGCTGCATTATTGCAGCTAATGGGAGAACAATGTTTGAGGCAAAGATGATGAAAATTCTCTTTAAAATAATGATGATGATAGAGTCCTGTATTACATTTATGCTGGGGATGACTAGGAATTTGATATCATATTAAAAATCCAAACACAAAGAAATAAAACTGAAAAATTTTCTCCTCTCTCAAGCATGTAAATGTGGTATAAAGAACTTTATTCGGTAATAACCAATATTTGCCCCCCAAATCAAACTTTACGGAGAAATATTTAATTACGTTCTTAAACAGGGGGATACATGCTGACTTAAAAGCGCTGAATATTTTCAGAAGCAATGACGTCATATGTTTGATATGACGTCATGAACATGATGTAAATTTAAAATTTCCAAGATTTCTACAGAAAAATGTATATATTACGTCGGTATTTTGAGTAAAAAACACCGAGCGCAGGTCTGATCAGGCTCCATATTTAGGTCTTTCCACCTTTCTGTGGAAAGACCTCTTGAAATGCTTCTGTTTCTTTTTATTTTATTTCTCCCCTTAGCTTTTGAGACCGTAAGACTTATCGAAAAACTTTTTAGTTCATGATACTGGATATATAAAGTTATTCCGAAAAACGACCCCGTATGTTTTAACTTCAACCCCTTATGCAGTTATTGGCCCTTTCACCGTTAAGCTTGTTATCGCTACTCCTCAGAAACCGTAAACCGTAGAGATACGAAACCTTCACCATTGTCTTGATCTAATTTAGGAGACTTTTCAATCTATTCATTGCAAAAGATTTCTTTGACCCCTTCAATGAGTAATTGCCCCTGAAATTTTATAAATTTTACAAAAAATTAAAAATTTTCAAAACGAAAAGTCGTAGAGACATGAAACCAACTGCATAACATTCAATGACCCTTTGCCTTCAAATTCAATTCAAGGTCAAAGTTCAAGGTCATTCCAAATATGAGAAATAAATTTTTCTTAATAGCTCTTATGTCCTTAAACATATACTTTCTATCTTATGTCTTTAATATGTACTTTTGAAACTCTTTAGAAGATATAATTCTTGGCCCCTAAGATTGACCCTTTAAAAAGTTGTTGCCCCTTGTGCTAAAAACCCTTGTTATCGCTACTCCTCTGAAACTGTTAACCGTAAAGGTATGAAACCTTCACCAATGGCTTTGCCTAATTATGGGGACTCTTCAATCTATTCATTGCGAAAGTATTCGGTGACCCCTTCAATGAGTTATTGCCCCTGAAACTTTTTGAATATTACAAATAATTAAAAATTTTCAAAATGACAAGTCGTAGAGACATGGGACCAACTGCATAAGATTCATTGACCTTTGACCTTCAAATTCATATAAAGGTCACAGGTCAAGGTCATTCCAAAAATGGAAAATTTAGCTCTTTTTATATCTCTTTTGTCTTTCAACATATACTTAATGTCTATGCATCATTAATATGTACTCTTAAAACTGTTTCAAAGATTTCACTCTTGTCCCCTAATTTTAATCCTTTTAAAAGTTATCGCCCCTTGTGTGAAAAACCTTGTTATCGCTACTTCTCCGAAACCGTAGACTGTAGAGACACCAAACCTTTACTAATATCTTAAGGGTATTTAGGTCTTACTTCACTGTACAAGTGCAAATGTATCTGATGACCCCTTATATGAGTTATTACCCTTTAAGTTCTTTGCACTTACTATAAATCCTTATAACTTGAAAACTATAAGGCATAGAAGCATGGGGGCAACTGCATTGTGACCCTTGACATTTGACCTTGAATATTTTTTCAAGGTCAAAGGTCAAGGTCATTCATTTTTTTTTTTAATTTTCATTTTTTTTATGCTTCAAGAGAGTTCTGGTTTCTTTTTCATGGAATTTAATTTTTAGGAGTCATGTATAAAACAAATTTAAAATTCAAAGAAGGTGGAAAGACCTCTTATTGTTCTGTGAACAATAAGTCTCCTAGTTTTATATAATGTTTAGAATGATAATATCAATAAAATATTTAAATATTGTTCCTGAGCAAACTTGCGCTCTATAATTTTTAAAGCTAAAACTGTTGAAATTTTGTCTATTTAGTCCTCTTTCTAAAAATTATAAAAAATCGGGACTAGTTTGTGACGTCATAAAAACAAAAATTGTCAATAAACTACTTTGAAACTATAATATGTTTTGTTAACTTATATTTCTTATACAATTTATAGAATTCAGCACATTTTTTTTTTAAATTCAAAATTTGACTTTTTGGGGGGCAAAGATATGCAATATACCGCATATAGTTCTTTCCCTTTTAAGTGCTCTAGTTTTAAACAAATTTCTTCAAAAACTTCAAATTTACTTGTTTGGGCTGTTGAATGCTTTTTCATACCCCATGTCACTTATATAGAAACATCACCATTGAAAGGCTTCAAATGTTGACCTTTACTCAACACATAGGCAATTGAGTAGTGAAGGATCTTTATCATGTTAAAGCCTACCTCGATTTATAAGGTCTTATCAGAAAGACTCCAACTTTCATTTCAAGGTGCCTAGTGCATGGCAAAGGAACAGTTGCTAACAATTTTTAATCAAATTAGGTCAGCCATGGCCAAGATTCAAACTTACTCTTATGACCTCCCGATCACTGAGTGAGTGCTCTATCAACTGAGCCATAATGACAATTTTATACTAAGGAAATCCATGATTGCTAAAATGGTCAATGTAACGATGTTAATCAGTGCATCTCTTAAGATGTAATCTTGGAGTACTTTCAGTACTTTGATTCTTATCTCATTACTTACACTTGTATATCCTTCATTTTTGAAGATTAATTTGGTAAAAAATAAAAAACACAAACACTAAATTTGGGAAACAGATCAATACTTAAGAGTAAGAATTCCTATTTGATGTGTACAATCCAGACTATTTCCCGGCTACACCCCCATAATCATACCTGGCTTATTCCAAATTACCGGGGGATGACATATCAACTGACTGCATTTACTTCTGAACTTTGCCAAACCATTAATGACACCATATCTTTAGCTTTTATTAAGCAATTAACACATTTTCTGGATCATCATAGGGTAAGATAACTATAGATAAAAGCAAATTCTGTTGAGATTTATGGCAAATGTCAACTTTATGATGTAAAACATTTTTTTTTCATAATTCTCTACCTTGTGTGATATATTTGTACTGGTAATTTAATTTTCAGACAGACATCTGAACTTATGGTTTAATTAACTTGACTGTGTAGTCTAAGGTTTTCTAGACAGAACTACTGTAACAGAAGACAATGGGGCCAATTTCAGATCAAGTTAAATATTTTACATAAATATAATCAGGAAAATTGTCCGACAACTTGTCTTAGATCAAAATAACTCAAAATTGAGCCTTGAAGATACAATTTACAGAAAAAGGCGAGAAGCAATTAGATTTGTTTTGTAGGTCTGTCAACGAGGATTTAATCTTATTTCTGTTACACTAGAAAATTACCCTGCAGAAGGTGTAAAGAGTTCCAACATCAGGCTTATGTACTGTATCAACCTTACCAATGTTGTCAAGTTTGTGAAGAATGATAATGAAAAAAAAATCATTTCTAATCTTTTGTATTGTCAGTATAAAGAGGCCAATGGGCAACAGTGCTTACCTGAGTCATCAAGACCTTGCTGTTTCTCATCAGTAATTTTTTCCTTAATCAGAATATTTTCTTAAGTATTCCTAATAAAACTTTGCTTGCTCTGTGTGGTCAAACTCTATCCTTGGAGGTCATAATTTAAACAAACTTAAATCAACACTATCTTTGGATACATCCTTTTGAATATGACTAAGATTGGATCAGGGAGAGTTCATGGTTACTTGAGAATTGAGCTGCTCCTAAAACTTAAAACATGGGACACTGATATAAGGGGCACAGCATAAGCTCACATTGACTTCTTTGAGGTGACCTTGAATAACTCTTGGATTTACCTTGTGGTCCCCCGTCTCTGACACTAGAACCTCCAGGCTTCCAGAGATCACAATGTACCAGTTTGTCCCAATATCCCCTTGGCGGAACACTACAGGAAAGAAATGTAATTGGTAAAGGTTCCATCTGTATATTCAATTTTTACAGAACTTTGACAGCTCTACTGTTAAAGACTTGAATAATCTCAATACATGTATAAAACGTAACTTATTAATTTTATACAAAATGTTCCAATGAAATTTTTTTAAATAAAAATTCAAAAAGGGATCAGAGAGATGCAGTTACTCCATAACAAAATCATTGTTGAATACGTGATCAAACAATGAAACTTACATGTAACACCTTTGTCCAGGTCTTCATAGTACCCATAGACACAGATCTGTTGGAGAAGGGTTGGGTGAAACTTCTCAAAAGCTTTTAGATTCTTCAGGTGTGAGTAAATCAGATCGAGTTCTTCCCCTGTTCTGTCACATGGTCTATCAAAAGACAGGATGTAATACTGTAAACCAACTTTTATTCGTGTGTGAGAAATTTTTGCGAAGTTCGCGAGAACCTTGTCATCGCAAATATTTCTCGCTGTGAACTGGTCCTTAAAGTCTCTGCGTTATTTAATAATCATAACATATCCAAAATTGGCTTGATCACAAAAATTAATTGTCGTGAACTAGTTTACCCCTGGTAAATCGCGAAGTAAAGTTGTCACGAATAAATGTTGGTTTACAGTAGTTAGTAGTTGGTGTCCCTTCATTTCATTTCAAATGAGTACTGAGAGAGATCTTGGAATGGACTTTATTGAAAACAATTCTGTATATAATTAACAGCTTGTTGGTGTGAAACAAAAAAAGATGCTGCAGTGATCAGAGAATTTAAGAAAACTTTTGATGGGAGTGAAAATTAAACTAGAAGCATGTCCATAGAAATGAATGCCCTGCCCAGGATGAAGCTGAATAGTTCTCCTCAGTATGTATCAGCATATTTTAAAAATTTCATGAAAATATCTTCAATAGTTTCTATGACACTAAGATAAACAGACACTAATTTCAGAAAATTGCTGGAGTTCAAGGTTGAGAAAAGGGTCAAGGTAAAAAAAAGTTGATAGTATAATAGCTCTCATCAAAATGTATCAGCACATGATGCTTGATAAAATATTTGAAAAGTTTCTTTTAAACTGTGCTAAATGCAAAATGTGATTCAAGGACAGAAAGACAGTGATGGAAGATGGACATGACAAACTGTATATGGCCCCAGTCATATTATGGTGTAGAATAAAAAAAAAATTTGTATGATTGATAAATTTTATTTTACAAATGAAAAATTCTGATTCTGCGCCATCAGGAAAGTTATTTCTCCCACAAAAAGCCCTCCTTTATCCCATAAAACTGCACAAAGGGACAATTTACAAGTGTATGGTGTGTATTCCTCTCCCATAACTCAAGAAAAAAAATTCTGATTTTGCATCCACATGAATTGCTCTTTCCAATTTGAGTATATACTGTATACAGGGAAATTTTCGCCCCCGTTTTATTTTTGCCCCTTTCGCCCTAACCTCTGTGGGGCAAATTTTAAAAGGAATTTAAAGAGAACAGTATATTTTCTTAAACAAAATTGTGACTGGGCGAATTTAAACCTGGGAAAAATTGATTGCAAGTGTGAAAGGGCAAAAATAAAGTAATGCGAAAATAACCCTGTACACAGTATATAAATGTTTGTATGCAAAGTATTTTTCTATATCAATAATACCATATACTGTATAACAGCAAAGTGTTGGGTGACATTAAATTCAACCAACATTGATTAGATTAATATTAACCAATTTCATTACTTTGGTATTAAATTCCCATGAAAAATTTATCAGTTTAGTAATTAGTGTTCACGCTAGACATGTGGGGATACTGTTACAATGTACACACATTGATTAGCTTAATGTGTACCAGGTATCTAATGGCATTTTGTTATTTTTAAGTGACTTATAAAGTAATGGCTACAGATGAGCAGCTAATTATAACTTAATTGTACTCCACTGAATGTCAATCGGTCACATATGGCACTTGCAAAATACACACAATCCCTTCCTATCTCTTTTCTAGTGAAATTTAAAACTCTAACTGAAATAGACAAATTGATAATACCACAAAAATCAATATAAGTCCCCAAATCATTAACTTTAAAATTTGAAATAGTTTGTCTTTTAAAACAAAAGTAAATACACATGTATATCATTTCAGGATCAATAAATGTCACACATAAATACTACGAGCTGTTAAATTTCAAAGAATACTCTGAAGGTTTTAAGCAAAAATTTAGTACACATACAAAAAACCTCACCATAACTGACAAAATGTCTTACAAGGCAGACTAGTTTCATGATAAATCACTTTTCTTCTTTTAAACAGTTACCTAATTTGTCTAGACCAGGCAAAAAAACCCAAACCTCGACATCTATAGATCTACTTTTTTTTCTAGACGACTAGACATAAAAAAAATTGACATACCTTTTTGACATAAAAGAAAACTCAACATACCTTTTGTCTAGACAAGCAATCCACTCTGAGACCATCATTTATAGGCATTCATAGGCTGGTAACACTCACAGTGAAAGTCTCCTTAATTCTTTTTTATTAATCTTCTGAATCTAGAACCTATTTTAAGGGTCACATTTTTCTCATCCCCTAAAAGAATCTAATAAAATGTAGGATATTTATAATTAGTGCACAATGTTTAGTTATATTGCATGGACCTAAAGTTATTATCACTATGCAATACATTGAATCAGATGTACACAAAAGATATACCCAGAGTAAACTACTGGTATCTTCTTTAAAAAAAATAAACTCCAATATTATTTTAATATGAGTAATTAAAACAATTATCCACCGAACATTTTCTGCTGCTGATGATACAACTAGACATAACTACATAAATTCAACAAATGTTTAATACAAGAGGGAAATTTAACTACAGACTTGAGGTTTTATATAATTTTAATTGTGTGCAGTAGGAAACTGTAAAACAAATTTAATAAACAATAATTTGTAAAAATAATTATAAACAGGTTAGATACTTATATAATGTAACAGATAATAATAAGGAAGCAAAGTGATCCTTCTAAACATGCACCTACCGAAATAGTCCTCCATGTTCTATAAAAGCATGACAGAAAATCACTAGAATTCCCGGCGCTAATTGACAGATTCAGGAATGACTGTGAAAACCAAGCGTGGCTGAATAACTAAAACTTATCCAGTATAACTACAACCAGCAAGTGTTATTAGGAGACAAAGACAGCCTGGTTATAATGAGTAATCCACTCTCTACCCGTGTCAGAGGAGCTCATCACTACATGCTCCCCGATAAAAGTAATCAATGCCCATATATTCATAGGTATCTGCAGCTGGCAAGTAAAATATTGACCATGAAGTGATACAAGAATCACAGTGAAGAGCCAATTATATGTGGCTTGGCCTTCTGAGGTAATACCTAACCTTTTAATTATAAGCTGTTCACACTGATCCGAACGTGTATAAGTCAATAAGTGTGTCATTTTACAAAAGAAAGAAATAACAATATTACCACATCCAAAATTGTAAGGTAATTTTTTTTTAGTTTTAAACATAACATATAGTTTATACATAGATGTAAATCTCCATGCAGTTCTAAGTAATATTTGTAAAATATCAATTTTTTTTTACATCTAAAACCAAATGGAATTTAAGGTTAAGATTTTTTTTCTCCTAAATATCAAGTATCCAGGTATATTGTATTCCCTGCTCTAAACCTGTCAATGAAACTTAACCCCGAATGCATGTGGAAACATTGTTGATTTCTACAAAACATAAATCCTGCTTAGATCCAACACTTGGACCAAATTACATTATAAAGGGAAACCTTGTCCCTTGCTGTTTAATGTATAACGAAGACAAAGTGACATGGGGGTCTTCAGGGATCTCATATTGTTTGCTGCTGTTGTTTAGTATAGCCCCTCCTGGGAGCCCCAGTAAACAGAATTCAATATCTTCATAATTATCAGATGACACCAATCAGTATTCTTGTCAGATTATTAGGGGACACAATCTCTAGTGACAATGAAGTATACCGCAGGCTTTCAAAGTTTGTATTTTTTCCAGTGAAAATTTAATTTAAGAGTTATTAATATGCTCTCTCAGTCTATGATCAATACCTGAATCATAAAAACTGTCATAAAAAGGATGTATAAACTAAGACAGCCCATACCTACCCAATATTTTTAAAAATCTTTGAAAAATTGCAATTGCCAATATTATAAAAAGCTGATCAAATCTGGTTTCATGAAATTTTGAATTTGAATTAGAGGGTTAATTTATAATCTGATGCAGAAAAAAATTAAACTGGACTATACAGACACAAAATTAGTCGGCAGACAAAAAAGGTCAAGTGAGCAAGACAACAGCTGATGAACTGCCAACTGTCCGCTGAAGAATCCAAATTTTGCCTCAAAATTCATTGGCTGTTAGTCATTTTTGGCAATCTGACGTTTTTTTTTTTGTTTTTTTTTAGAAATAGCACATATTCCAGACTTCTGTGAAAGTGATCTAAATTTAGATGTGGTCAAGGTCAAAAAGAATGTCAAGTTCAATAAATAGATATAGTCAATAGCACTCATCAAAATTCATTAGATATGAAGTTTCTATGAAACTGAGCTAGTCAACAATTTTAAACATGGTGAGGTCAAAGGTAAGGTCAAGGTAAAAAAAATATATTGATGCTAGGGGACACAAAAACAGTTCATTATATATGTTAATTCATTATATCACAGATCATTATTACATTACAATTTTTCAATGAATTTTGCTATGGATTTTTCCAGGTATACTAAAACAAATTCTTAAAATACATAAAAATTCTCTATACAATTCTATCTGTGTTTCCCGGTATACTAGACAAGTTTTACTGTAGCCAGATCGCAGAGACACAGAATATCAGGGAGGGTGACAACCACTCAAAAAATACAGGTGCATTATGCTGACAACCACCTCTCATCATTTAGAGCAGTTTACCTTTCATTTCCATAATTACTGACTGTGCTCTAGACAAAAACCCGAGCTTAAAAGAAACGCATTAACCATCAACCTAGGGTTTACCTGTAATCAATTATGAAGATCAGACAGAGGGAAAATAAAAAGACCAGACTGGGAAAAACTGCAGGAAGTTACAACCTATGTCATGCAAACATCTCTGTAATAATCCCTTCTCATTTAGTCGAAGCACAGCGCTAAAAAAGGACATCTAAAGGGACTCTTCTAACAAACCGGTACTTGAAGACTTTCATGCATGCAAATTATAACTTACAAAAGGATGTTTCTAAACCTCAGTGAATAAAATTCATTAACAAATATATTTCTATCAAGCTTTAATAAGCTTCACACTCCTTTGAATAGAATGACATTTCACAAAGTAATTTCAATGACAATTTGAGTTATACATGTAACACATGTCTTTCAACATTTGTTTCAATTGCTACATAAACATAACTTAACGTAACTTAATTTTTTAAAACTAATTTCGCTGCACTGAAAAACACTCCTAACAAAAACATATCATGTACAATTGATTAAGGATTGTCGGTACATGTCCTATAACTATTAAATTAAGAAATCAATGGAGTAAAGCAACAGATGAGATTGAGTCCTCTCATAATCACAACAACAGCATCACAGATTTAACAGGCAGTTCCTGACCTACCTCTAATCTTTATGGAAATAAATGAAGCAAGTTTTATTGACAAATCTTAATTTACTGCCAGTGACAGAGAGAAAATAATTGAAAAGTAGGTACATGCATACAAGAAAGTAGAAAATAAGCAAATGTCCATGTTTTTTTTCCAAAACAAAAAGTCATATAGAGAGTATATAATTTAAAATAATCATTTTTTTTTCCAAGATTAAAAGGGTTCAAAGTAAATTTTCATAAGGAGTTAAAGTGAAAGAAAAATATTGAATTTATCCCTTTACAGCTAGGTCATTACCTGGAGATATTCCAATCCTACAGACACATTGTTCTTGTAACAACTCAATCTCCGATGATCATATTCCGTCAGCACAAAATCCTAAACTCCTAGCTCCAATAATAATTCAATCTAGGTTTTTACAGCAACATCTACATCACCAACACATCTCCATGACAACTAACATAAACAGGCTGAGGGAGAAAAAACCAGAGAGTGGACCAGATAAGGCCCCGGCAATTAGCACCCTGGCACTACGTGTGGAGATGTTTTGTCAACTCTTCACTGGCTACTACTGTGATACACTTCAGGTGGACTGATCCGATTCTGTCTGTTCTCAGATTCAAAGTTGAGGAAAATAGATACAATTGTTGCATAAAATGTTATAGTGAGAATTTAACAGAATACATGAGTATTAAAACAGAAAAAAATATTATAACTTATATATATTCCTAGATGTCTGCTAATATTCCGATATTTGTACCTCTATTGAAAAAATATCATACATAAAAGAAGATGCTTTAGCTCAATGCATTAAAAGTTTTTAATCATTAATTTTGATTTAAATTACCGGTAACAGCCTATAGTCAAATAAAACAACTGGAAATTTGTTCAATAATAATATATTCAAGTTTTTCTTTTCGAAAACAGACATCTTTGAACAAGGGGAAAAATTGATTTACATACATTTTCCACTCCTCAAAGTTCAAATAGCAGTCCTGAAAGGAAAGTTCTCCTTTAAACTGTCAATATAGACTTTTTAAATCAATGGGAAAAATTGTATGAAAGAGAGCTTAATATTCATGACAGTCAAAATCAATAGGTTAGATTGATTTCTTCTCTCCCTTTCAAACTCCACTTTGGATCCATTTGCTTCAATTGTCTTCAACAATATTAAAATATTGGGCATAATTTGAACTCCACATAGATTTCCTGAATGTACAGATACATCAATTCAAAATTTTCTGATTTTGGTGGTTCCAGCAATTTGCAAAATAGAAAAAAAAGGAAGCATACCATTTGTTCATATAACGAATTATAAACCCCTGAAAAACACACAGCAAGTTTTGCTAATGACAAATATTCATAATTACAGATTTTTTTTTTAAATAAGAGAGAGGAAGAAAATGGAGGTAACCAATGGTCTTATATTCAATGATGAGCTTTTCCCATACTTTTTTCTCATTTGTCTCAAGAAATCCATCATTTCTGTTTGCCAAGGCGAGATTTGAAAATCTCCTTAAGAGATGTGTGGATCATTTTGTTAGAGAGCCTCAATCAGTCGAAACAACGTGCCTTGCCAATACAAAATTCAAGTTGACAGTTTACACGGGATTGAAATCAATAAATCAGCTAGGACAATTTATAGTGGCTGAACATGACAGTATGTGATTGCCAGGGCTATGGACAACTGATGGCACTGATCAATTGACAGGATCCTTTTTACTTCTCTTCAATGAAATTAGCTCTCCATACAACCTATAAAACCACCATTCCCCTCAACTTAAACACCATTTCAAATTCACATCTAAACTTCCTCTTTTTTTTTTTTTGGCATCCAAGTCTATGGACTCAACATACCAAAATTAAAAAAAAAAATCTTCAAATTTTCTTTTCAGAATTCTGCTTGTTTTCAAGTAATTTAGAGAAACGCCCAAAAGTCATTTAAGGTCATACGCAAGGTAGTTTGAACTTTATTGGGTTCTTCCCTGGAGTTGAAGAGTTCCACTAAATGAAGGACCTGTGTGCAATATTTTTAATGTCTATATATGGATTTGTACACCTATTCTAAAACAATTCTTGAAAAAAATCTGGAATTTATGTTTTATAATTTTTGTACAATTTTCTTTGAATAATGTATTTTTTTTCCAAAATTTGATATCTTTTCAAATTCCCGGGTAACACATGTTGATTCTTTGTCTAAGAACATGTTATGGTACATGTGTTATAAGTTTAAATTTAGAATGTCTTGAAAAATTATCAGTAGGTAAGGTACCTTGTGTATGTCCTTAATTCACTTCCATGATTCATGTATTAATGTGCCATTTTACACTTAAGATAATTGATATTCAATATCTAAAACTTGCCCGATACCAATGTTAGATCACATTACAAACCAGACAATGCATTTACATGTTGTATGACCATTATAGTCAAGACTTGGTTACCAATTGTATAATGATAGCAGTTAAGACTAAGTATAATCCAGGGTAAATGTCAAACTTTCTACCACACAAAGAAGTTAGTGCATTCTGATATGATCAAGATAATTACCCATAATACTTAACCAGGTTAACTATCAAAGTGATTGCAGAGAACTTAGAAACTTGTATTAATTGAACATAAATGTATAGTTACGTAATCACCGTTAGACAAAATGGAGACCAACACCATAAGCTGAATCTGAAACTGACTCTTTGAGATGTACCCAACAGCTGATGTCAAGTAGTACGTAACTTAGAGAACAAAGACATTGAGAATTACATTCCATAAATGTACTACCATTCTGCCAGTCCAGTACATGTATATTGTGTAACAGTTTGCCACCTCCTGCTACCTCCTGTTTAGAGAATCAGTGAACCACTTTAAAACATTATTTTAAACTAAATTTGTAATTACAGTGAAACCTGTTTAATCCGACATGGTCTGGGAGACAAATTTTATGTCGAAATAGACAGAGACTGTCAGATTGCAAAGTATAAAAACCAGAAGTCTCTGTCGAGACTGAAGCTCTACTGGTTTGTACTTATAGCAAAGGAAGAGAAAAGTACTTAAGCAGTTGGAAATTGAAACTTTTCAACAGCAATAAATAGAATAATGATCCTTGATTAAGTCTCTTTATGTTCTTAGTGCAGTCTACTTGCATGCCACATTTATATCATAATCAGACTAAAATTGTATTTGGAGTAGCATTTTGAAAGAATTTCACAGAAATGTCTATTTTTAGTAACCACGGCAACACCGTTCATTGAAATCAAAAACCAATATACGGAATTATGTATCTTAGTGTAGTCTACTTGTGTGCCAAGTTATATTGAAATCAGATCAAAACTGTAGGAGGAGTAGCATTTTGAAAAATTGTTTACAGACAGACAGACGGACGGACGGACGGACGCATTACTATCGCATAAGCTCTTCTGGTCTCTGACCAGTAGAGCTAAAAAATGGAATATAGTAAACTAGGAACAAATTGAATGTGGGAATTCACAAGATTGCATAGGTGTCAGATTAGACAGTTTTCAATGTATCTTCATACTATAAATTATTTTTTTGTCAATAATTACTGCGAAAAATTTTACCAAAGATTGTGCATATACCTCCAGATTTAAAGGTACATTGTATTAGTATGTTTATATTATGTGTCATATGATTGTATGACAATGTTCATCAAATCATAAATAAATTTTGTGTATGTGTGTGTGTGTGTGTGTGTGGGGGGGGGGGGGGGGGGGGGGGGGGTTACCATGCCCCTTTTCAGGTCCATCCCATCCCAAGGGTGAACATGCATACTTGAATCTACACTCTATCATGAAGCTTTCACTCAAGTTTTTTTTCCCCTTTTCTAGCCAAGTTGTTATTTGGGAGATGTGTAAATGACCCAATCCCAATAATCACCATTTCTTAATGACCTCCCCTTGGAAAAGGGTGTGGCCTTCTACTAGAAAAACTTTGAATCTCTTTCACATAAGGACAGACCTAAGGATAATCTGTGCGAAGTTTGATTGAAATTGGCCTTGTGTTTCTAGAGAAGATTAAAACGTAAAGTTTACTTACTAGTCGACAGACACTGGACAAATTTTAAATAGAACAGGTCACTGTTCAGGTGAGCTCAAAACACAATATCAGAAGTAAATATCAGCACAAGGTCTCAAAAATAATGAATTAAGTACTGAAAACAACAGAATAATGTCTAATAAATATATTATACAGATTTTCTCCACTAAAATGAACCAATGCAATTTTAGTACGGAATTAACAGTACAAATATCAAAGAGTAACCACACCTTGGTATTTGCAGAGAAATTTTTTTTTACCAAAAAATATAACACTTTTCATTATAAACTGACATTTTCAAAAAGCAAATAAGAAATTGAAATTTTTTTTTTCGTGGAAATATTTATTTTCATTCTTTAAAAAAAAAAAAAAAAAACATCTCATAAAATTAATCATATTGATTTCTTTAACACATAAACTACAGTCACACCTAATACCAGATATTTCTACAACTGAGTAAATAAACTGATTTATCTTACATCAGAGATCATTATGAAACTGAACGTAAATATAAATTTACTGTGTGGACAAATTCAAATCTAAATTCATACAAGTGCAACCATTACATGAAGGGTGATTTTCAGATAAAATAGACTACCTTTTAAAATTTCTGGACTCATGTGAAAAAAATATATAAAATGCATCTATGAAAGCACTCATACACAAAAAATATACAGTCAATAAATACCAAATATACATAGATATGTATTTACACTAAAACACTCATGCTTCAAGGTTTAATCATCTTTAGAAATGAAATACTGTACATACGCATGGGGACATTATTTTTAAGAATCAATCCCCCCTTTCTTTTTTCCAAGCGTACATTAAAAATGTATCAATCAATCAAAAGAAAATCCTCAATAAATAATTTCTCACATTTTATCCAAAATAAAACTGAATTACTGAATCTGATTTCCTCAATTGATGATCCTGTTAGTCGATCAAGCCATACAGAGTCTATGATCAGCACCATAAAGCAAAACCATAGGTCTCTTCAATGCATGCTATATAACCAAATACAACAAGCAAACCTGATGGAATCCAAGTATAAAATGTCATGTTTCATGTGTCAATTCACTTTTCCTCAGTTTTGAGGTAAGGACAGTGACTTCTCAAGTCTTGGTTTCACTTTCTGCCCCGGACACATGATTGCAGATGCTGATTTGTGAGAACGAGTCTTTTTCACTTTCTCCCCTACATATGATTGAAGATGCATTTTTGTGGGAAAGACAATGACATCTTTGGTCTGGGTTTCACTTACTGCCCCTACATATGATTGAAGATACTGTTTTGTGGGAATGATGATGACTTCTCTAGTCTAGGCTTCTTTGCCACTGGCTGATGCTGTTTTGGTAGATGGGCTTTTCTTGCCTTTCCCTGGGTTGGACCATTTACTGCATTCTACAATTTTACAAGAACCAGATTTGAACTCCCATGCTTGATCTACTCTCTGGTTTTCTTCTTAAATACTGTAATCCATTTATTTTCATATCATCTTTTATTCGAGATTTGGCAATGTGACAATTAATTTTCATGACCAAAGAAACCTTTTCCATTCATAGACAGCAAATTAATTGTACATGGGAAATAGTATTCACAAATTAAAGAAGACTGCAGTATCTGTGAATTTCTTGCACACAAATAAAAGTTGGTTTTACAGTAATATGAAAGTAACACAACATACCTGTTTATTTGTGTCTTTGTCAGGGGAGATAACCTGGAAGACAAAGTTCCTGGAATTCCTAGGTCCAGTAGGGTTAACTGTTGTCTTTGTGAGTTCGGCAATCTTAGCCAGAGTTTCTTTGTTCCTTCCAAGGAATGAACCCTTCTTCTGCATCTGGAACAATATTTTATCTCTGAAATCCCTTTTAATTTAAACTACATCAACATTACTTAAATAACTGTGCTTGAAACAAGAGAATTTTTCTAAGTCTAAAAGGGCATAACTCTGTCAAAAATGGTGTGATCATACCCAAAGCATAACTTGACCTAGATATTCATCTGAGTAATCTGAATACTAAATTCCATTTCAATATGTGCAAACTCTCAAAAGAAAATGAACGGAAACTGCAAATAATTGGAATTTTTCTAAGTCCAAGGGGCATAACTCTGTCAATTATGGTGCAATCGTACACAAAACAAAACTTGACCTAGACATTCATCTGACTAATCTGTATACTAAATTCCATTTCAATATGTGCAACCTCTCAAAAGAAAATGATCTGAAACTGCAAATAATTGGAATTTTTCTAAGTCCAAGGGGCATAACTGTCAATTATGAAGCGATCGCACCCAAAACAGAACCTGACCTAGACATTCATCTGATATACCAGTATACCAAATTTCATTTCAGTATGTGCAACGATTATGAAGAAAATGAACGGAAACTAAATGGACTGAATTTCAAAGTATTAGTGTTACACTTGAACAAACAAAGCCGTGAAATTCATTTGATTAAATTTTTCGCAAAGAAAATTTATGCCCCGGTAAACAATACCGACCGACAGACAGCAGCAAAGCAATATGCCCCCCTTCAATTTATTAAAGGGCTATTAGTGTTTAAATCATGGTTTTTTAAAAATGTTTCTCTCTGATTATATATGGCAACATGCACACAGAAAAATTATCTTCAGATTCTAAAATCATAATTCTTCAAACTGAACAAGACATAATTTTAATTCAGATATTTATTTGTCAAAGCTGTTAAGATCAGACCTTCAATCTGCAAAACACTTTAAAATAATATGTTGCAGGTTTAAGTGTCAATTTTTTTGTTCTTGATGTAAAAATAATAATTTTGGTTGAAACACATATTCCATTGAATATGAAAGATTAATCAATTGAATAAAAAAAATAATGCATTTTAGAGGGAAAAATTGTCTTACTTTCTAAACACAATGAAAGAAAATTAAATTCAAATTTAACATCTACACCCATTTATATTATTCCTTGTGCCAAACAAATGTGGTTAAGTACAATTTCAGTTATTTGTTCAAGTCTAACCATAAATTATACCAAACCCTAAATTACCTCAAAATTTTTCATCAATCCCAACAAGACTAAGAAGATAAATAGAACTTACTGTTGACTTGAATATAGTACTGGCTGTCATCTGTGTCCCATTCTCTTTGTTGACCATTTTCTCTGAAGACACCTTTTTGACTGCCCCAGTTTCTGAAACTAACCAAAAAGAAAATATTTTTAAAAAGTTTTTGTTAACATACCATGTAACAGGTATTTTCTGTGGATGGAAATTTTTGCGATTTTACCCCTGAAAGATAGCTGACTTCCATGTTTTCAGGTGAAAATTTATTTAATGGAAACAAATACTGAATTGTTTATATTTGATAGAACTTACATTTTTTAAACAAATTTTCATATTTCATGCATCCCATTAGCATAATTCTTATATTTTTACAATTCATAGTAAGAAGTTCAGAAATAACATTAAACAATAATATTTTAATTGCCATATGCACCATTTATAAGGCTAACATGCATGAATATCTAAATTATAATTGAAGGAATATTTTGCAAGAATAATTTTTGCAGATTTGTCCTATCTGCAAAATTTCACAAAAATTGTTCAACTGCAGAAAATACCCTTTATACTGTATTCTGATTCAATGAAAATGTATTATTAAATTTTATAAAAAAAATTAAGGATACACCAAAGGTTTCCAAAGGGTAAAATTTAATTTGCTTGTAATTCTTTCATTAACAAAGATAACATATTAAAAGTATATATCATTTGAAAGCTTGTTAAATTCACTATTTAATGATCTTAATTTAAATTTTCAATTTATCTTATTAAAAAATTATTAATATTTTAATGTAAATATTAGTGCATTTATATTTTATAAATCAACTTTTTTGTATTCCACCTCTCAAAGTCAAAATTTTGCCTCAATGTAGACTAAAGATTGAACTTTAAAACCGTATCTCAGATTTTTGATAAATCTTCTTATTCAAAAGTTACATCCATTTGTCTTTCAATGTTACCAATTTATTAGCCTAATTCTACATTTCCCCCAATAATTCGAGAACTGAGCAAGATATCAAAAATCTGAGATACGGTTTTGTGAACACACATTTGAGATGCATTCTGGCCAGTTTTCAGAGAAATTGGTCAATAAATAAGGGAGCTGAATCCTTTCAAATAATACCACCAACTGTCTGATCTTACTTTACAGTAGAGGGCAAAAACCCATTACACAACAAAGTCTGCCAAAGCTGGAAATATATGACACCTCGGAGATTCAGCTTTGGATACCTGTCACTTATCCATATTTCCTATGTATATTCACAAGAATGGGAGGTTCTGTTCTTTATTTAGGTGCTTTTAATGAAGTAAAATAGGTTCAATTCTGAATCAGAAAGATTTCCCGGCAAAATGGCAAGAGCTAAGGTCCACCTCCTATTTCATGGTCATTAGTGACCTGTTAGATCTCCTTCCCTAAATCTAGAGTCCCTGTAGTTTAATTACTGATAGCCTCTGTGTGGCTAGTGAAGAATTCCCCAAGTGGTCACAGTGATTTATTGCTCCTTTCAGAAGCAGGCAGTTACAGACCAAATCAGAAGCTTCAATAACGGCACATTCACATGTGTTAGTGTTTATGTTTGATTATTGTTAAATAATTAGAAAACTATTTAATAATCAGCAAGAATTTTTCATGCATTATAAAGCAGTGATTAGCATTGTTTTCTTAGCCAAAAATCTCAAAATTGACAAAAATCTTGAAAAAAGCCTTTGGTGTATCCTTAAACTGAAATCTTTAAAACAAATGTACATGAACTTTACAACTATTACCAAATATTGATATTTACAAAAGAATTTTTTAATTTCTATAGAAAAATACATACTACTTCTCTTCAAGAAAACTTTTCCAAATTTAAGGAATTGACTATTTTCATCTTCATTTCTTTCTTTTTCCTGAAAAACAAAACCCAAATACAAACATTACAAATGCTGGTAAATTACTTTAAATCTTTAAAAAAAATGTGAAAAAAAGGAGATACAAATGTAACCTGACAGGTTTAGCAAGGTGGACAACTCATTGAAAAACTGAAGAGAGAATGATGAGTGATGTTCTTTCTTGCATTACAGAGTGTCAGCATACTGTAAATGTATTATATTTAGCGTGTACAATATTTGGCAGAAAATGATTTTTGAACAAGTTAGCGTAAATTTGTTTTAGTGAATTTCTAGATGTTGTTATCAATGAATGCATGCGCAAGACATTTAGCTTTGTACTTGAATTAGCGGATGTTTCTTTCCGCCAAAAGCGCTAAAAAGAATACACAGCCAAATGTAATACATTTACAGTATAAGGAGACTATTAATATTGAAAACAAAGGTTGGATGCAAAGGGGTGTTTGGGAGAGTTTTCACATACAAAATATAACAAGGATTCCTACAAAACCAGCTTAGACCTGACCTGTTGTTCCTGTAGAAACTTTTCTCTCTCGTATCTCTCCTGTCTCCATTTAGCCTCCATATCTTCCTCTTCCACGTTCTCTCCATCAGAATCATTGTTAAACATGTCCTGTTGGGTCCCTTCATCTGAAAGTTAGAATCACATTACAAAATGTCTGCTTAATCCTACTATTAAAATTGCAAATATATGTTGTAAACTAATATTAAATCCTCAATTTTTTCTTCATTTAAATGTAATGAGCCAACATGTATTTCTTTTTAAAACTAGATGTTTAAAATCTAATATGCAGACAAAAAAATATGCACACTTTCTCAAGAATGAGTTTTAAGCTTCTAAAACCATTTTTTTAAGTCCTTGACTTTATAAACAATACATACCTATGTTACTCCATTTAAACCTACGGATACGACCTTGACCTTCACTGTGCAGGTCACCATCAGGTAGGTACATTTCTTGGTATCTGATCAGTTCTCTTTTGTCTTCATCTATAACTTGTTTTCTTTAAAAGAATATAAAACAAAATAATGAAGTAAATTACTTCTTCAAAATACAGAAAAAGTTTGACCCACAACTTTTAAAAAGCAATTTTTTTTTTCATTACAACTTTTTCTGAATAAGAATTTCTCTTTTCAATTAAGTTATGAATGTAAGATATGAATAAGAACTTAGAACTATGTCAGGTGAGTGTCTGAGGTCCAGTAGAATTTCTATTGCCTCCTAATGAACTTACAGGTGAGCCCTGCCCACTTGGTTCCTAAGTTCCTCCTCTGTGCCCACTTCATCTTTGTCCCCCTCCTCCATCTCTAAAATGTCTTCCTCCTCAGCAAGGTCCAAATTCTCATCACTGTCATATTCACTTCCTGTAATATGTGGAAAATACATGTATTCTAAAGCATGCTGGAATGATGTATGATTTTAAACAAATATCAACAGAACAGAAAATTATGCCTTATACTTCCTCAAAATTTCAGTTAATCTGACCTGATAATTCAGCCTCTGCTTCAACAAACTCTCTTCTTATTTTCCTGTTGAAAGGGAAATGTAAAATTCAAAATCAGAAGTGGAAATAGCACATAATTTATTTCATCTCTAATAACAAGGAACGTAATTCTGAGGTACATTCACTTTTCTCTGAACATTTCCCAGTAGAGGGTTCTTCTAGGAAAATATCATTTGTTGGTATGCCTTATTAATATCATAAAATGACATTTTGTTATTGAATATTTTTTTTTTAATCAGTCTTTTTTTTCTTCATTTTCTGCAAAACCCATTAAAACATCTGATTTACATTCAGTTTTCAGAGTATAATAATTAAATTTCAAACAAGCAAAAAATATAAAAAATTTCCTAACTTTAGAAATCGGGGTCTTTATTCAGGTCATAGAGTTGTGGTATAAAAATCATTGCAAAAAGTTGAGGTTTCTTGAGATATTGTCAGGAAATGAAAGTGAAAGTTGGGGGACAAAAAAGGTGTTCTATACATATACCCGTGTTTGTTGGCAATGGTAAATCCTTTGAACTTCTCCTGTTGAGGTCCCTTACCGTCTTCTTCCTCCTCCTCCTCATCTATTCTCTCTTCATCACTGAATACATTCTAAAGAAAAAAATCATCAGGGTGGATTAAGGATTCTCTTAAACACATAGTTTAAAGTAAATTTACCAAATCATTTTTTTTTCATCATAGTATGTGTTCCCCAACTCTTATCAAGTTTACATTACTTAAATATGGTGTATTTCAATCACCTTTCTATTATCTTCATCTTCCTCCTCATTGTCACTCACAAGTTTGAAGGAATCACTGCTGTCTTCTTCTTCATCATCTAGAGGAGATTTCCTCTTCACACCAGTCTTCTGAGATCTCCCTCCATCCACTTGACTAAAGAGTGATAAATTAGAGATTATATACCTCTACAAATGTAGACCATATGTACAAGCGAGACAGTCTCGTATTAAAGAAATTTTCAATGAGATGCACTACACAATTTCAAATTTTAGTGTTTCAATTACACTAGTAAACACCACAAAAACATGGCTGAAATATAGCTGACTTGGCATTAAGCAATGATCAATTAATCACATAAGGCAAAAAGATCATTTGAAGCAAGACTAGTAATCTACATTCTGAAATCTACGTCATTTGCGGATGTCTTTCCTCACCTCTCAGCAAACTTTCCTGAGCACAGTCCCATCAGCTGTTCCATGTTGTTCTGGGTATCTGTCTGGGTCCCAAACAACTGCTGCTTACAAGAACCTTTCTTATCATTTTCTGGTTATAAGAAAAAAGGGTAATGGTACATGTTATACTAACTGTTCAGTGGTACACAGTAATTCACTAACCGAAAAGAATATTAAGAAATTCATACTTTTTTCTCTCTTTCTCAAATCAAATTATTAAACAATCTTGTACTGTTATCTCATTTATACATGTAGGTACATAGAGCTAAATGTGTGTTCATTTATAAGGAATTAAAAATCAACTTTTTAAAAGAAACTAGAACTGTCCAAATGTGACAAAATACCCCCCGCTGGGTTTTTCAGAAGTAAGTTTTTCCATAAGAAAGATATGGACCGGACATGAATTATGAAATTTTCTTCTAGTGACCTTGAACTTCCCCAAATGACCTTGGGTCAAGGTCATGACACACCCTTGGGTCATGGGCAATCTTTGTGTGAAATGACAACTTACCAAGTTTATCCATAAGAAAGATATGGACAGGACACTAGGGGTGGGACGATACACAGATCTTGCGATACGATACTTATCTCGATATATTAGCACGATACGATACGTATCTCGATATTATGATAAATTATAACACTATTTTTAAAAAGTATTTTATTACATTTTCTGTCTTGACATTAAATCAACTGTTACATGATAAATTATAAAACTATGCAAAAGAATTAGTATCTTATTTCATTCTTTTTTTGTCTTGACATTAAATCAACAAATTATTCTTAGACTATATAAAATCATGTGTGCTTTGAAATTAATACTTGAAGTTCATTTATTTCATTGACTAAAACTTTACAAAAACAATAATACATGTATATATTATTGTTACCAAATTTCTATAAACAAGTTTTTTACAAACATTAATGTAGTTCATCAAAGAAGACTGACTAAAATTTCATATTTAAAAAAAACTGCACATTTACATTATAATCAATTGCTGACAGTCTGCAGCCTAGTTGAGATTACAATAAAGCACGAGATGGACTAACAATTAATAATGTCAAATGTTCTGGAAACAATACTTTCTGTGTATAGCACGCTTTACATACTGAACTTTTCTTGTCCAATCTTCCGAGGCTGCTTAAAAGTAAAAACGTTTTACCCCTAATCAACGACTTATTAGTTCTATAGTGTGTTTTCAATATCATCATCGTCTCTTCGCTTCGTACAAGCCGCCATTTTCCAAGGACAGGTACGTTCATTTTCAATTTTTGGATAGGTCGTTCCTGTATCGTTTCGTACCGATATTTGAATGCTTGTATTGTAAACCGTATCTTTGAGGAAAATATCGATATGTATGGGTGTATCGGTATATCGTCCCACCCCTACCGGACACGAATTATGAAAATTTTTCTTCCAGTGACCTTGAACTTCCCCAAATGACCTTGGGTCAAGGTCATGACACACCCTTGGGTCATGGGCAATCTTTGTGTGGAGTAGTAGATTCTAATGTCCCTCTGTAAGAAAGATATGGACCGGACACGATTGCACAGACAGACGGACAAGGTGATTCCTATATACCCCCCAAACTTCGTTTGCGGGGGGTATAATTATCTGCTCTTATACAGAGTTAGACAAGCTGCAAACCTTGGAATCTCCCTGAACATAAACCAAGGAGTTCATCAAAGTTCTCTTGTGAAGAGTCCATATCAAAACTCATATAAGGTTTAGACTTGGGTTTCTTGGCTGTTGAACCTGTGCGTAAAAATCTACAAAACAAAAATTCTCCAATAGAAATTGCTGAATTGCATAATACACATACAGTCAAACTTCATTATCTTGAACTCAATGTGACCAAGAAAAACAAAATTGAATATTTCTGGGGATTCAATGCACTGAGGGTAAAAAACTGAAAGAAAACGTGATTGGGATTTTAAATCACTTTGACATATCCAAAGTTATTGAGAAATCAGTGTTCGATAACATTATACTGAAATCAAGGAAAAAGGAAAGAAAACTTCAATGTGAAACAAAACTCTACTAATAAACAAGAACAGTTACCCATCATTATCAAACATCCTAGACTGGGACTCCTCAATGTAAAAGTTGAGGGTCTGGGATTGCTGGCTGTCCATACAGGTGGAGGGTATGGCTGGGAGGGTACCATACAGATCCTGGGAGTCCTCCACAGGGGGGATCAGGCTGCTGGTCCTCTTAACCTCCTGTAAAACAAGGTGCTTTATATAGATATTACAGTAATATAATAACTGTTATATTATTGCAGGTTGTCCCTAAGAGCCATACATTGGGGAACTTCCACACCTACATGTATAATGATGTAATCCCCCACTTATTTTGGTATTACTCTTTAACTCCACATTAGGATAGGAACCCCTTGTACTCCCTTGTACTTCTTAAATGTCTCTTCTATTTCAGTTCATAAGAACAACCCTGTGATTGTATTAGTCGACACACGTACAAAATTATAACAAGATATTTATCCAATATGTAAACAGGCTTTGATGTACAACATCAAAAGTGTCAAGGGACACAGACTGAGATTTGGAAAATGTGATTACTATAAGGGTTCTATGTTTTTATGCGAGGCCCTAAAATAGTCATTTTGAAATTCTCTTCTGAATACAGTGATTAATTGGATGCATTGTCATAAAATCGGGAATACCTGAGCTTGTGTTGCCTGTGAACCATGCTTAGAGAAAGGAACAAACATATCATCAAGTGGTTCTTTGAAGAGACCCTTGTCATCAGTTTTGTCTTCCTGTGCTTTCTCTTTATTTGGATCAGATCCACTTTGCCCCTCCTCATTAGTGGCTTTTTCCTGTTCCTCAGTAACATCCCTGCTCTCCTCATCATCACTAATCTGCAAAACTCGGGGCTTCTTTTTCTTTGCTGAAGATTTGATTTGTATTGCTTGGTCTGGAAAAGTTAATAACCAAGGTGTTGTTCTATCCTCACATCAAAAATATAACTAAAAACAACTATCCTTCCTTTTTTGTTTACCTTTTTCATCTTCTGTCTGATCCTCTACAACATCATCATCATCATCATCATCTGACAGATGAAGTTTTAGATTATCAACGTCCTCATCACTTTCACAGCCCGCATCATCATCTCCATCATCTTCTTCTGCCTCATCATCAGCAAAGGGGTTTTTCTGTATAAATTATCAAGATATATTAAATTAAATCATAAATTACTTGGGTCTGCTAGTATTTAGTGGTGTAATAGGCTCCATGCATAAGGCAGGGATTTCCAAACAACACATTCACACAGATAAATATTGCATTCAAAATACTTAAAGAATTTGTAACCAAAAGAATAAGTACAATTATCAGCAAAAGTTATTGTGCACTACATGTATATTTCACAAACCTCTTTCTCTCTTTCCTCTTCTTCTTCCATTTCTTCATCTTCGCCAAACTCTTCATCGAATTCATCATCCTCCACATCAGTGTCTGAGTGTTCTGACATTTCATCATCGTTATCTAAGATGGCATCCTCATCCTCTGCTGTGTAACCTTCCTCATTGTCAAGGTCATATACATCCTGCCTCTGCTTCCTAGATTCCTCTCGTTTCACTTTCATTTTCTCTTGAAGCTTCTCTTTAAGAGCTACAAGTTTTGCTCCTGAAAAACAAATATCATTTGACTTTCTATACAATTTTCATTCATGACATTACAGGAACGAAAGTTTTGAACCTGTTATCAGCGTACCTGGTGCATCAATGGCTTGGAGAGAACTCTCATCTTCCTGTGTGGGATGATAAGTGAAAGTCTTCATGTGGAGTTCATCCTTGTCTTTCTCAACAATTCTAAAGAAAAAAAATACAAAATCAACATCAGAGATGAAACCTTCAGTTTCATAAATATTCCTCAAGAAGCAATCATACAAAAAGCAATACAAAAATATATTGTTAAAGAATCTTTCACACATGACCCAGAAAATTCCTACTGCTTACCTTATATCAACATCCTTGTTGACATGTTTGGTCCTCTTTTTACAATGGTCCATAAACCTCCCCATAAGTTTCCTGACCCCTGGGTTTTGTGGTTCCTCCTCTTCTTCTTCATCTAGACTGATAACAGCATCAGGGCCCCCACTTAACTTAGGAACAGCTGACATGTGTGGCAAGTCAGGTTCTAGCAAGAAAGACAACTTTGATTCCTGAGTTTTGGTGTGTTCTGTCCTGTTTTGTGAAGCAATCTCCTCTGAATTGGATTTGGCCGATTGTTTTTCCAGAGTTTTTGTAGAATCGGTACACTGAGTGTTTGAAATATCACCTTCAGAATCTACTGACTTTTCACAATTAGCACCACCTTCATCTTTGAGGGACAATTTAGCCTGCTCATCCGATAGTTTGGGAGAGTCATTCTGTCCCAACCTTTCTCTGACTTCTTTTTCTCTTTCCTCCAAATCAGGAAGATCATCTTCTCCTAAATGAACTTCAGAAGATAAATGTTTTTCTTTGGCATCTTCAGAAACATTTTCCTGTGCACTAATTTCCTCTTCTGTGTCTTTTACTATTTTTTCAGATCCTTCTGCTGCTTCGATATTTGAAGTCTTTTCTGTAACCTTTTCTGAAGTGCTCTGCATTGTCTTATTGCCTTCACTTTCTTTATTTGTTTTGTCTTTTTCAAATGTCTGCTGCATTATCTTGGCCTTACTGGAAAAAAAAAACAAAAGCATAGTACAGCACAATTACTAGCAATACTCGTGAAGTTTGATAATTACAAAGTTACTTTTAATCAAATTTTCCTATTTCCCTCGATACAGAGGTACATGTATGTGTATTTTTTTTTTAAGGATTTGTCCGTGTTCATGTTCATTCTTACTGTATATCTCTTGTATTGTGCAAACTTTTGTATAGTTCTTGCTTTCTGGAAGCTCTGGCCAAAAAAGCTGACAAAGGTTTGGGTTCTGGCTGGTGATAAGGCAAGTTAACTCGACTCTCTGGAGAAGAAATGATCCATTACTGGAGATACCAGTATACAGTGAAAAAAGATTTTCTGTTATACAAATTTATCTTGGAAAAAAATTAATATGTATCAATTTTTTATAAGACAATTTTACAATTAATTATTAATAATTTTCGCACACGCAATGGGTTACCTCTAACAATTCTCTGGGTTTCACTGTGGATATCTAAAAGTTCATCCTTTCTGGATTTTTCTTTTGTCTTTCTACTGGGCTTTTTTGCAGCACCCTGACAAACATTCATAATTTATCAGTTTAGTTCATATGTTTACTTTATATATTCACAAACAATACATATGCATTGAACTTTATTTTCTAAAATGAATGCAAGTGTTTGGGTGATTCTACATTTTCTCTTCTGTTGAGAAGAGAAGGGGATGGAAATAAATGTGACATACTGTAACTGTGTACCTTCTTTAATTTGGCCAGAAGTTTTGGATCCAAAGAAGATTCATCAAATCCTTCATCTTCATTGCCCTCCTTGCTGCTATCTGAGTTGTCTCCACTGTCACTCTCAGAGTTATCTTCCTTGTTATGGTTCTCTCCTACAATATTTTCAGACATTAACATTTGATGTTACACTAATATCTGCAAATGTAATTAGACTTTATGAAAAGAAGTATTTTTGAGATGTTAAATACAGATACAGACCTTGTGAATTTTCCTCCTCATTTTCAGCATCAAATAAGTCACTGTTGGCAAACAAAGTACTCTGTGAAAAAAATCATAGATACATGTAAAAAATAAATCTCCATTTGAAACAAAATTTACAATTACTAGATAGTAAAATGTTCTTGTTAAACTAGAATATCCTGGCTAAGTTGAAATATAGCAACACATACATTATTTTAATGTTGAGACATTACAGGACTTTAATAGTCGAACCCATTACCAGCAAGTCACCTGTGTTGTTCACTACTTTCAATATTAACATTTACTTAATGACTAAGAAGAAAATATTGTGATTTTCTAAGTGCTGTGATAAGATTTCCATGATTTTGAATTGTCAATCTTGATCCTTGCTAAACCTCAGTAAGTATTATTAATCACATTGTTTGCTGACAAATGTCATAGACAATGTACGAATATTTTTTTTCTCTGCTTGTCATCCAATTTGAGGTAAGTTTGTGTATGTCTCTGACATTAGTCAACAATCTAACCTTGAATAAACTATTAATTCCATGTAACTGTACCTTAGCTGCCCCTGCTTGTTCCTGATCATCTTTTTGTTCATACTCTGAAACGAATTTGGCATAAAAGGTTACTTATATTGTACCACTAATACTTTATAGTTTTACTATTACATACTGTAGATCACTTAATTTTCGCGAGACCTTATTTTCGCGAGATAGTCATTGACTCGTTATTAACGAGACAAAATTTTCACGAATTTTGGTCATAGCCCTATATAATCTTAAGGAATTCAATTATAAGCGAGAATGAAATTTTCTCGAGCATACCGCCTCGCGTAATTACGCGGAAATAAAGTTCTCGCGAATAAAAAGTGATTTACAGTAGCTACTCAATATTTAAAGAGGTTACTTGAATTACCTTTGGTAGAATCGTTGCTATCATCATCAAATACAGCAGCAATCTGTAAATCACAAATACATCAGAGATAGAAAAAGGAAATTGTGTTAAACTTTTCCTAACAGCATATCAAAGTATTCTTGTGACATAACCTCAATACAATAATGATCTCTGAATAAAAAATATTAAAAAAATATTACAAACAGTAGTATCAATATAAAGACCCTATCTTACATTTCAGTTGCAAGTTATAACTTTACTTTCACTTATTGTATAACTTACTCTTTTCTTCTTTATAACTGAACCTAAAGTTATTTCATCATCATCATCATCACTATCACTACCTACAAGCACAATATACATACATGTACAGTTTAATCATAGCATTTCTATTCCAATTTTCAGCTCTTGGCAATTAAGTTTAAAGATAAGATTCATTTTTTCCTTCAATTTTATGACTGTATATCAAACCATTCTCGGATCCACTTTCCAATGCTTTGGTTAGAGCTTCATCTATCACCTGTAAATAAGACTGATATATTAAAATGTTTATAAGGAATCATCTATTTTTCTTAGCAAGATTGCAGACCTGTTTACCCATATCGTTGTCTCTTAGTATTTTTGATTAGATTTGTCCATGAGATTTTGCATTTGCCGATAAGATTCCATTTTCCATCAATTTTACATAAAAAATAGAGAACAACTGCTTTTCTGACTACTAAAAAAAGGGTTTAATAACATGGTATTGATAATTTTATACCATGATGTTTTGGCAAACCGACATAACTATGTTTGAAATCTTTTTAAGTAATTATAAAAAGCTTGAAACTGAGACAGCTAGATCATCAAGAAAAACAACTTCTAAATTCTTAACAAGTGTATTTCTTATCCCCGTATTTTCATAATAGCAAAACGCGAGACATATTTTGGAACAAAAATCTGTACAAAATACAGCGAAATTGTAAGAGTAAACAGGTCTGAGAGTGTTTGAAAAGAACTTTCAAACTTTTATGGTCCATAACAAAATGAATAACGAGGACTGCAAAGCAGAGCATTCTTTCACAAGACAGCAGATCCCAAAATGTATTATTACTTCCTCTATGTATATACTCACCATTTAGGCTATCTAAATTTAATTCCTTGGTTCTCAGGCCAATTTTCTCCAAAACAGATGCGGGAGGGCGGCATTTTATTTTTCATTTTATTGGCAATAAAGGAGATGAGGGAGGTATTTTTTTTAAATTTTAATTTCCGATTTTCTTTAACATAAAGATAATTTTTTTAATCACAGATATACTTTCCATTTCTGGTCAAAATGTCTGCTTTATCCATTGCTTAACAGCGTGTAAACATCGTAGGTAATGTCCTCAAATGTATTTTCAAACGAAGTAGCCAAAATCTCATTGTAAATGGCTACCGGAAGTGATATTTGAATACTAAACTACGAAACAAATGAGGTCGGAATTTTTTTTCCCGGATTGGTCTCCGCAATACCAACTTTTTATTTTATCAAAAATACAATAAAATCGGCAATGCGGGTACCTCCAAACAGATGCGCGCGGGCCTGAGAACCAAGATTTCATTTTTATATGGCCTTACATATTCACAAGTGTTTTAACCCCTTACATGGCATATACGCATTTCTACGCCTCTGACTTGAAAAACGAGTATAGTGTGAAAAAACATTCATCAGCTTTTTATTAATACTGCAAATATCAGAATAAATCTTCCAAGATTGGAAAGAGAAAATAATTACGATGAAATAATCTACAGAAATGTATTCAATTGGTTGTACCAGTTTTTTGCTAGCTTGAGTTAAACTTTGCGCATAATTTGAGCGATTTTGCCATTATCGAACTCAATACGGGGGTAACAAGTAATGTGTAAAAATGCTAAATTCTGGTGATTACCTCCCAACCCCACTCCATCCCCTCAAAATACTAAAAATTGGTTTGTGTAAAAATGTACAATATGCTCATAATTTTCAACACAACAATAAAATATTTTTCTGATATATTTAGCTAAGCAGAAAAACTAGAATGAAACTCATTCTTGAATAAATGGAAATTACAGTATGATTATGATTTATTTCGTTGCCATGGCAACTGAAATGATATTTTTATAACCATTTTCAGAAAGTACACAATACCTGCTTTCAGAATATATATACATTGGTATGTACAAAAAATTCAAGAAATACTAAAAAAAAAATGCATTGAAATCTTAATATCAATTTTCCTAGAAATGCTTAAAATCTTTGCCATGGAAGAGGTTAATACATCCCCTCCAACTTGTTGCAAGGGGATAAAAACTTTAATTTTGCTACGCAACTTACCAATGGTGATTCACTCTCTGTTCTCCTGACATCTTTTTCTGAAAATATTAGTTAAAGGGTCTGGTTTTTTTTTCAATAACTTCTTAATGCAAACACATGGTAAAAAGAGCCTTCATACTTCTTACATAAGTTTGCTCGAAATAAATTAAACCCTTAAAAATTTAACTTTTATCAATTTCACAACCTTACAAGTCACTCGGTTTGATTTAGAAACATGAATTCCTGTCAACTTTACATAATACCAAAAGACAAAATCAGAGTCGAGATTTCAGTTGAACAGAGAATACACACCTTCTATTGTTGTTTCTCCTTCCCCCTGAGTACTCTCCTCTTCTTCATCGTCCTCATCATCCAATATCCTCTTACTCTGATGAAACAAAATTGTCTAGTGAACATGCTGTTAAATATGCAGTTTCCCTTCTGCCTTGAACCCAAAATATTTTTTTAATCATCATCTTTTTACTATTTTTAAGCATACTTTTTTTGTCTAACATTTATTACTTGGCCCGTACATACAGAAATCACTCTGCGTATCTTCGATTCTAAAATACCTTCCCTTTTTTGTGTGTGTGTTGGGGGGGGGGGGGGGGGGTTCGTGTAAATGTACATTTTTGGCATACTGTAGATTCCTTATTTTTCGCGAGTACTTTTTATCGCGATCTGGGCCTTTAACGTCAAATCGCAAGAATTATAATTCGCGAATGGACGGTAGATTAACAATATTTTCCATAAATTTCAGCACCATAATAATAAAAGCGAGTAATATTTTTTTCGCGAGTGACGCTTCTCGCGAAATTACGCGGAAATTAATTCTTCGCGTATAATTAGGAATCTACAGTATTACTTGGTTTAGATGTTTTTTGCATGCAGAATTCAGAATTACTGTTATGACAATGCACATTTGAAATTTACCTGTTTTGATTTTCTGCCTATCAATATGTCATTTTCTTCCTCATCACTCACTAAAAACAAAATATAAATCAGTGAAATAAATCTATAATAAAAATTCTTTGATAGGGCCATATAAAAAGTGATAGCAATGTTAAAGCGATGAATAAGTTGAACATGAATCTTGCCTTCTAAAGAAGCTAAATTCAGAAAATAAAGTTGTAAAAGGTAAGCAGTCACAACATTGATTGATTGTATAAATGAATTTGCAATTTTCTTTGGCCTCCACTCTGACTCTCATCCTCACTTCTCACAAGCAGTGGCAGAGTCAAAGCAATCCAGTGCTCCAAGTTGCGACTAAAATGGTCGCATTTGCGACTAAAAAACTGATTTTGGGACTAGAAATAAAAACAAACTCACATTTTCGCAACTGAGAAAATTTGGGCTGGTAACGTCGATTTTTAAGATCAGGATCGAGATTTACGTTGATCAAGTTTCTCTATCAAGAAAATGTTTGAAGACATATACTTTAATACACTTTACAAGGCATCGCATGGACTTGGATAACGTAATGTTATGACAGCATGCTGTAATGGTGACTTACACAAAGTTTGATAGAACCAGAGACATTTATACATAATGTCTCTGATAGAATGGCATCCAAACTTCGTAAACTTTCTGGGACCCAACCTTGTTATTGATCATGAAGCATTTGGTCAATTGCTTGCATATCACAACGAATCATGCTAATAAAAAGTGTTTTGGTGGTATTTATAATCACAATAACCGTATAATGAGTGAATAGATAGAATGTTCTATCGTTAAATGATAAATGTCCCACAGACCCCGTTTAACGATAGAATGTGTTCCGTGTAATCACAATGTAGCAAAGTAAACATGGTCGATTACTCGTACTAGTGCATTTACTATGAAAATCAAGAGAGTTCCGAACGTAAACATGGCGTTTAAATTTGAAACGAGAAAAAACGTTGAGAAAATTAGTTGAATTTTCGTCTTTATTTAGACTAAACTTTAGGTTTAAATACTTACGCAGCCCCAAAAAGGTTTGTTTTGATTTATTTACAAGTTATTTTCAGGGCAAATCTGTTTGTATCCTTCAAAATCGTTTTGGAGCGATTCTGCAATTTTTTGCTACATTGCGAGTATATGGGTGGTATTTTAACTGTGGTGAGAGCTTGTCCCGAGACACAGTTAGATTATTCTAACTAAATGAGTTAAGTACGTAGTAGTAAGTAAACATGACAAACAGATCGCTAAGTCCTGTGTCAATAACTGTCAGAATCGAATTTTCAGTTGATAAAATTTTATTTCTATGATCAGATTTCTTGTGTTCTGTGTTTTGTACAACCATAAGGGTAGATGTATTGAATAAAAATATTTCCTTCAACCTAGCAAATTGTTTCTAGTCACAGTAATAAGTAATATCTTGGATTTAATAAATTAAATTAACTAGTTTTATTCAAAAAATGTATTTTTAAATTTTATGGCGAGTGAAAAATTTGATAATGGCGACCAGAAATTCTGAAATGGCGACCAAAAAAATTTTTAGCGACCTTAAAGCAAGTGTGACTTGGAGCACTGCAATCTTGGATTATAAAAATATAAATCTACACAATCTCAATTACAAACAAGGTAAAATTTTTCCTTACAGTGTATGTCTTGTTCATTAGACTGCTGGCTATCATCATCCATCCCTGAATCCACTTTTTCACTACTGTGAGCATCTTCTTTCAAACTTCCCCTTACTTCAATCTGCTAAAAAAAAAAACGTATTCCTTTTATAACAGCATGATCAGATTCTTCTAATTTTGTGCATATGGAAGGAAGTGTCTATCGGCACGACGGTCGTGCCGATAAATTTCGTTATCCGCACGACGGTCGTGCGAATAACAGTTCTTATCCGCACGACACAAGAGAGATAACTCTAACATAAATTATATCAACACTGAACGCTGCTGGTGGGGGGAAATTATATATGTACAACGACGTATACTTTTTACCCCAAACCAACGAACGTATACTTTTCACCCCAACCAACGAACCTACGAACATTTAATATATAAAATGAATTATCTATGATATTCTTTTAGTTGCTTTCAAATTTCCTTTGTTGAATATTCTTCATGTCTAAATAAATTGACATAAATAAATTATATTTTAAATATTATTCATCCTTTGTATTATTTAATTCTTGGGTATTTTTCAAAGGTTATGTTGATTGGAGCAAAAATTATGTAAATTATAGCCTGTACACAAATATTTTTCTCATCATAATATACTTTCCTTTATTTACGATCTTTAATAGTCTTTCCCTATTTTAATTCTGTCTCTCTCTCTCTCTCTCTCTCTCTCTATTTCTTCCGAATACCACGTGAAAATTATAATATGGGTAAAATATTATGTCGAATTTTCCGTATTTATTTTTTGAGACGTGTACATAATGTAAGTCCCTAAGTGCCGCTGAAATTGTGCACGTGAATTGCGCCCACAGTTGAAAAATTGACCATGCGGTAAGTAGAACTGCGATAGTTTGAAGGATTCAAGTTTGAAAAAAACTTCCCGGATTTTTAGACAGGGGCGACCCCTAGTCCCCAAAATGATAGAGAGAATCCAGTATATGTTAATCTTGTTTTGTTTATAAATAAGATATAAACATTCATTAGTTGCATTTTAGTTATATGTACTGCATGTATAAAAATGTTATGAATTTCCAAAATAACACCCCACCCCTAAAAAAATATAATAATCATGGTTAACTTTAAATTTATTCTATGCTTTATTATTTTACGGTCATACTAAAATACGCCTGCCGACGCCTGCCATGGGAAAATACGCCTGCCGAGAAAATATATACACGTATTTTAGTATTACCCATTATTTTATGTACAGCACACAGGCACTTGTTTCGGAAATAATTTTTAAACTCAGTATAATAATAACACAAGGTGATATTACTATACAAATACAAATACTTTATTGGCACAAACGCAATTATAATGATTGACAAAGGCCTACTGAACATCATTAAATAATGTTTAAATAATTTTTTCAAGAATTGTCAAGTAATTGACTTCTAAGTTCAAAACAGTCTCTGATAAATTTAACAGTAACTTTCAAGACTTTTTGTATATATGCTATGGGTTTAAAAATTATTTCCGAAACAAGTGCCTGTGGTACAGCATTATTTTACAAATAAGAAAACGATTACTCAGTATAAAAATCGAAATTTTATTTATTTAGAAAGGAACACAACTATGAACATGATGGATAAAATAAAACATCACAAAACATGAAAGAAACGTTCTGAAAGAGGGTAACCTTGTTTGTTCTTTTAATTATTACCATAGGGAGATCGTAATCTCGATTCCTATATTACACTAGTTCATGTATCATATCAAGTGTGTATATAAAATTAAATTTGCGTGTCGTATTTCGAAAATAAAATTGCCGTTTTTTAGGGGGGTCTTTCTTTTCTTTTCTTCTTTTTTTCTTGGAAAAATCAAATCACTGCAAAAAACGGCTAAGTCACATTTTTAATAAAAAAAAACTCTTGCATAGAAACACATGAATAATAAGCATGGAAAAAGGTGGGTTAACTATTAGGGGTGGGACGATATACCGATACACCGATACATATCGATATTTTCCTCTAAGATACGGTTTACGATACGAGCATTCAAATATCGGTACGAAACGATACACGAACGACCTATCCAAAAATTGAAAATGAAAGTATCTGTCCTTGAAAATGGCGGCCTGTACGAAGCGAAAAGATGGTGTTGATATTGAAAACACACTTTAGAACTGATAAGTCGTTGATTAGGGGTAATACGTTTTCACTTTTAAGCAGCCTCGGAAGATTGGACAAGAAAAGTTCAGTGTGCAAAGCGTGCTATACACAGAAAAGTATCGTTTCCAGAACATTTGATATTATTAGTTGTTAGTCCATTCATACTTTTTTTCGTAATCTCAACTTGGGTACAGACATTCAGCAATAAATAATAATGTAAATGTGATTTTTTAATGAGCTTTTAGTCAGTGTTCGTTGATAAACTACACAACTATTTGTTAACAACTTGATTAATAGAAATTTGGTAATATGTACAATTGTCCTGTACTATTGTTTTTGTAAAGATTTAGTTAATGAAGTTGATGAACTTCAAGTATTAATTTCATAGCACACATGATTTGATATAGAATATTTTTTTGAGTTAATGTCAAGACAAAAAAATTAAATAAAATACTAATTCTTTTGAATAGTTTTATAATTTATCATATTGTGTTAATGTCAAGACAAAAAAAAATGAAATAAAATACTATTTTTTAAAAGTTTTATGATTTATCATAATATCGAGATACGTATCGTATCGTGCCAATATATCGAGATACGTATCGTATCGCAAGATCTGTGTATCGTCCCACCCCTATTAACTATATGTCATGTGGATGTCTAATAAATAAAATTTGTTTTGAGCTTCAACGTACAGAAGCAGAATGACATGTAAAAAATCATATCAAAGTAAAAATATAATACAAATAAACGTATAATTAATATTAATTAATTTTGAAATTTGTCGTGCGAATAACGTTTATAATTCGCACGACCGTCGTGCGAATAACTTTAGGTATCGGCACGACCGTCGTGCGGATAACATCGGTAATTAGCACGACCGTCGTGCGTATAGCCTCGGCCCATATGGAATTTTTATGCCAACCGCCTAAATGATGTTTAGGTCTTTAGGAGTCTGATAAGAATGTATGTGTCCTCACGTGAGCTCATTTTCTTTGACTTGAATTTCATAAAGATACAAAATCAATGCATCTAAACAATAACTTACGGTAGCATTAATTTCTGTTGTTTCCACCGTCATCTTTACATTTCCTCTTTCGCGCGTTATTCCGGCGCCTGCGTAAATCTGCAAACTTCCGGTAGAATACTCAAAGGAGCGAAAACGTGCTGACTTACGAATTCCGGATTATTTTTAAAATGTATTAAATACAAGTTTGGCTTTCCAGAAAGCTTGAAATGTCATCTCTTTGGGCTTCATTTATGTCACAGAATAAACAGTTAATTGAATGTAACTTTTTTTCAGCACTGTCAAGTTTAAATAAATGGAGAGGTACCCTCTCTGATGACACGTGTCTGTAATTCTAAATTTATGTGAAAATATGTTTTAACTTATTATTACAAATATTTTTTTTTTGTTTAATGTATTTAGAAATTGTTATTGTACAACTAAGCAGTATTCGAAAAATTTGTAAGCATTTTTTTTTAACAGGAAGTTGGACAAAAACCTTAGCGTTTCTTTTGACCTTACATATACGTATTTCACAGCTTCTTACTCTGACGCAGACAAAAGCGCTAACTTTATAATTCAGACCCTTTCCTTTCCAAAGATTTTCCTTAATCTTCTCATTCCTTTAAGTGACATGCCCATCGAACACCCATGGGATATAAAAGGGGAAAATGAACTAAACTTACATAAAAAAGTTTACTATTCAGAATTTTAACTTTTAACAGCACTGGCTAATTTGAGGGGGGGGGGGGCAGGTTCGCCCTTTTTGTGTGCAAAATATACATAAGATTTCATAATTCATTTTTTGTGTGAGGCTGTAGGCCCCTACCCTGAACCCCCCTTTTCAAGATTCCTGTATCCGCCACTGTGAACGCTTTATAAAATATAAGCACATGCACAAGGCCCTGTCGAAATATAGCATAGGATAGAGAAAACTGCCATCAACGTAATTAACTTGAAAGCACATACAATATCAAATCTACTTTTACACAATTTTATATAGCTTATTATCCAAAGAAATAACGCCCACATATTTTTAAATACAGGTGAGTAATAACATTTAACATAAAATTAAGCATTTATAAATTATCTGAAAAAAGAGTCCTAATTTGCCAACTCTGAACTTAGGCTGTTTTAGGAATACAGTATTGTGCCATTATAGTGATCGTCAAAATTCACGTGCAATGCGTTTATTTCTGTGTTTTGTTTTAGAAAACTTGATCTGCATACTAAAAATACACAATTCTGTAAATTATAATTTTGGCTCCATTTCAGTAATATAGGAGAAGTGATTTGATGACTCTTTTGCCATTAATGCAATTTACAACTGCATAAAGAATTTGATTGCAAGTTCTTTAATTATAAACATGATAAATCCTTCAAAAGAATAGATTAGACTTGCAAAAAAATACTTATTTAGATTCTTTGCAGCTTTGAATTGTGATCAATCTTCCAATATCTGTCAGTAGTATGTTATAGACATTTATGTTAATGCGCCTATAACTTGTGCTTTTAATTTATGATTTTTTTTTACTCATAATACATTCGCTGAAACAGTCTTGTATTATTTAAGAAGAATGACGGCAAGTTATAAAATGACTACAGTATCCTGTTGTTGACCAGTTTTCATGTTGTAAATTTTGCATTTACCTGCCCCTAGTAAACAACCTGATAAAAGTACCAAAAAATTAAAGTTTTCACCTTCAGTTCATATCACTAAACGCGATTACTTTTGTAAATGTTAAAATAAATTTGATTTTGTTTTTTTTTTTGTGAATTCTTGGATCCAGAGGATATTTACACACCCGCTGACCTAGTTAGAAGATTCTATCTTGTTCATTTACGTAATAGCCAAGAAGACTACCGGGGTATATATAAGAACATACAGTGTATATTTTGAAGACTCCGCCACCCAGGCGATTGTGTGTGTCTAACTCTCTCTGATTTCTGTGCAGCTTGTTTTCTTTATCGATAGAAATAAAGGAGATCGTTCATTGTTTACATCTCTATATTTAGAAAATAGCATCAACTCGGCGCTCCTCGGGTGACCTCGCACCTTTTATATGGAGAGCAGTGGATTCAGCCGAGGATTGCCAACTGTTAAATGGCAGCTTACACTGGGACTTCACATCCGGAAATCAAACTTAATGTGTGTCATTTCTCTCGAGAGATGACAATAGATCTAAGCATCGTACTTCTTTTCTAAATTTTTCTTGGCTTTCAAATAGGCCAAAACCGAAAGTAGATCACACACTTCTAAGCTAGTTCTTCTAAAAGAAAACCAGTTTACAGGCTACTTGGAACTCCTTGTGTAGATTCTCACTTGAGATATTGTAAAACATCGAGGATTCCCGAAAGATTAATGGAGGCTTACACTAGGACTTCACTTCCGGCATACAATCTTAATGTGTCATCTCCCGAGGGAGATGACAATAAAATTAAAATACACTACAGTGGTTATAACCAGTGTTAACATGTCGTAAAACTGGAATATAATATTCTTATTTTGTACAATTAACAATTTGTAAAGAGACATATGCATAATAAAATCATGTTATACAAAGAGTAAAACGATAAATCCCATTACTCACCCTTCCTTGTGTGTTCAGGGGACGTAGCAACGGGTAGGGGGGGGGGGGCTGGCCCCCCACTTTTTCCCCCAACATTACCTTTACTATAGGAAATGTTCATTGAAAGGATGGTTGCCCCTCCCACTTTTTACCACAGTACAATGATATGAAGGAATGGTGTAGAAAAGTGTAGGAAAAAATTGGAAGTGAAAGTAACTTGGCTTTGAAAAAAGTTGGCCACTTTTTTTTTTCTTGCTTGTCAACTTTTTCAGGTAAGTAAAAAAAAATTTTCTCTGGTTGGCCCCCTCACTTTCAAAAACGATGCTACGTGCCTGGCGTTGAATAATTTTCCATGTATTTTTTTTTTTTTTTTTTTTTTGAGACGCAGATTAATACATGTATTTCTCAAATCAGTAGGCCTATAATATCATGACTGATACAATGCTATAGCAACTGACGACAAAACATAATTTTAAAAACTCATTTTATTTGGAAATTATTGGAACCAATTTCTGAACGTGTTTTATACACGGATCCAGAATTTTTTCCAGGGGGGAATCCACCCAAATGAACTGACGAAGGCCACGTTTTCTTGGTTTAGTATATATGCATTTAATAACTCTGCAAAGAATTTTAGATCCGCACATGCGGTTTGATCGACACAGGCTGAACACTTCTGCATTGATCTATTTTTTGGCATATTAAAAAGGTGCAGAAGTCAAATGTACATTCAAGGTCAAATCAAAATAAGACAAATTCTTCAAACATTCAAGTGTTTGCACAACAATTTTTGTCCTCCGCTTTTGCGAAAACCTGGGTTTTTATGACAGACTGACAGACGAATGAGGTTTAATATCTCTTTCATCTGTCAGTCTGTCATAAAAACTTTAAGCTTGGTCAAAACTAAGAGATAGAACTTTCATATTTCACATGAACATTACCTGTGACAAGACCTTTCCAAATATACTATGATTTTTGAACCGATGACCTTGACCTTGAAGTTTTACCTACTTAAAAAAATATTATTTCTTTAAAATGGCCTAAACTTTTGATAGAGAAAAGGTAGGGATTTCATATTACACATGTTAGTTACCTGTGACAAGTCTTTTCTAAATACACTCTGATTTTTACCAAGTGAACTTGAAGATTGGCTTACTTTTCAAAAACTTTAACCTTGGCCATAACTTTTGAATGAGAAGAGATACAATGAAGCGCATTGAAGTGGTAAAATTTTCCGTTCGAATGGAACGTTTTGAGCTATATTTAGAGTGTTTATTGTCATCTTTTGACACGCCCATTTCTTTAGAAATTGATAAAACGGTCAAGTTGTTTCTTCAAATACCTGTAGAACAGGTTTTCCATAAATATAATAGCCAATCAAATTGAGGATCTAAATAAACACCGAGTAAACACGTGTTCGACCAAAACATGTGTTGTGGTAACTTCAATAGACATGATAAGTTCAAAAATATGTACATATTCGTTGCAATTTGTGTTTAAAAGAAGTGGGGAGTATCTAACTCCCTATTCTATTTTTTTTAAAGCTCCATTTCAGTGTAACTCATGATGCTTGTCGCGAAGAATGGGATGTCCTAAAACTACGACGAATATTACTTTCTCGTTTCTAAAAATATGGGCGTGTCATTATGTTATAATTGACCTTCAAAACATGACTCAGAACTTTTCATCCAAACGGAGAATTTTACCACTTCAATGCGCTTCATTGTAGTGCTTTCATATTCCTAAAGTCAGTTACCCGAGACGAGACCTTTCTAAATACACTGTGATATTTGACACGTGACATTGAAGTCTGACCTACTTTTCAACAATGTTGGCACATGACGTTACTTATTCTTCTTTTAATAAAAAAAAAAATAAACCCTTACCTAATAATATTTCCATTTCTAATTTTCTTTCTGTGATAACTCTTTGAAAGTTAGCGGAGTTGATTTCTTGATAATTCTACCCGAATGTAAATTAGGCAGGTCGATAGATCAGGAGCTGAGAAGGCCTAATATGCATACAAATCTCGTGCGCATCAGTCTCTGTGTCTGACGCTAAGTAGGCCAAATATGCATGTAAATCCCGTGCGGCTGCTTTTGTGTTTGATGTCAGTGGGCGAGGAGTATTGAAATTAGTATGAGTATTTAGATCTATGTCTACATTTTAAAGTCTAAATCTACAATTTTATTTCAAAATGAAATGGAAATATAAGGAATCACAGTCTAGTTAGTATAGTATGCCAGGGACATCAACGATAATGGGAAACATGGGATAATTTATGCATAGCGGGCTTCGCCTGTGATTTTTCCATATAACTTTTAATAGAGAAGGGATAGGGCTTTCATATAACTTAAGAGCCCTGACTGAGCAAGGCCGTAACTACCATTGAGGCAAGTGAGGCAAATGCCTCACTAAATTTTGAGAGTTTTCTGAAAAGTGAAAACGTTTTACGATCTATCTATGAATTATGAGTGTCTTCATGCTAAATTAATATTTTAACTTTTGTTTCAATTTCTGTAAATGCTTCATCTCAATAGGTGCCCCATTTTCGTTAAGAACGC